CTTTTGTCAGACTGTTTTGAAATGCTCTCCAAGCCATGCAAACCTCCTTTTGGTAGGGTCAAAAACGAATACTCTTGTGATTTTTCCTGAATTCATCCGCCAGCTACCAGGTCAAGGGCAATTGGATGTTTGTATTACCGTAAATGACCCTCATTTGGTAGACCTGCAATCTTGCCTAACACTTGATGTCTGGCCGACTACCACTTGCCAGCATTGCCTCCTCGAAGCTCCGGATTTCATACGCGAGTTTCAGCGTGTCTGCGTGGTCTGCAACTGTCCTCCAGTTCATGGAAAATTCGAAATTTATGGTAAAGTAAATGACCACTAAAGCTAATGCAAAAATGTTGTTGTAGCAAAGAAAGGCAAGGAGAGTATGACCCTTGGTATTACAAAACATCCTTCATTTTGCGGTATGTTGCCCCTCGTTGATGGGAGCATTCAGATGTGCATTCGCAGCCTACCTTGTTCCAGTTTGTACGTTGACAAATGCTTCAAGAATATTACAGTGAGTGACTCCTCCATCCACTTATCCCTCCGTCGTTTTACGCCCATTTTTTTTAACAACGATAAATTTAATCTTGTTGCTACTCTTATCTGCCTTTACAGTTACGCTCTTCATTTTCCTCCTCTTTATCAACTATTCTGCTCATTTTCTTGGTCATTTGTTCATCAATAAGCTGCATTCGATTCCAGTTCATTGGAAGTACGCCTGATGAAAATGAAAAGCAGCTGGACGACATTTTAGCCGGCAAAAATGATATCCTCAACTTGTCGATTGCTTCAAAAGATCCTAACACCATTTCGGAAACCGTGCAGGCACTGTGCGCGCAAATAAGGAGTTTCATGAAAACTAGCCTTACTTCCAGTAGGCTTTAAATTTATTAAATAATATCTGCCAATGACTTTTTCACAAATCACTTTTTGTCAACTTTAGCTCCACTGTCCAATATGGGTCCGAAGCGAAACAAAATAGCTCAGGTAAACTTTCAACTTACTGGCCAGAAACAATTGCGAAAATATTATTAGTCTATGTAAAAGTCAAAATGTGCAAACCAAATGCCAAAGAAATATTATATGGCATGCGAGATTTTGGGCAGACAGCATGTCCAAATTAATGACCGATTGAGTAAATTTACAGTTAACGGAGAAGCTTATTGGAGCACTGGAAACAGTCAATATGGCTGACAATGATCATCTACTACCCCTATCCTCCGCCCTTGAGGCAATCGCCACCGTTGCCAAAGAAATCACCTTCACAACAGTCAATCGCATCCGATTCAAACTGGTCGAAGCAGCAAATGTACTACCAACACAACTATCTGATTCTTCATTACAAAACGTCTTCCAGATAGGGCGTACATACACCAACATTGGAGCCCATCTTCTTGAGGTACCCTTCCTACCTCATCTCATGCCTTATCATAGGGAATGCGTTATCAATACGAAAATCCCACTCCCTCGCTCAAACGTGTCCACCTGCCAGACCTCGACTATGACACCGACATTGATGTGGATCGTAAGTCTATACCACCTTAACCACTGCAATGCGGACCACCTTCCAATGGCTAAACAAAGTCACTTGCGAGTTCTCTTGCGTTGTAATGAAGGCCTCCCTCTCGTGTTTGTCAGTGAGCTCAGCACTGCTCAAAGTGATGCAGACTATGTGCAGCATCCCCATTATTGCATCTCGTATTGTGCTTCTGGTGGTTGGATCATGTTCCTTCTATTTCCAGCTGTTGATTCCATCGACACACTGATCATGGAGCACGTGCAGAAAGCCCAACGAATGTCTGTGAGCCAACTCACGTCAATTTTTGTTCAACCTGACTTCATTTGCTTTTGT